CGAACTGGGACACCCAGGATGAGACTGAGTTCTTGCCTCAGTATGGTCATTGTCACTGGTCTGGTCTCAGAAGCAGGGTACCCTCCCTCTTGTCAATTCTATGTTCTGGTTGGGATAGGCGGCAAGGGGTCATGGTGGGGGCTGGCGGGAGTAGTCAAGGCTGCTTCTGAGTTAGGGAAAGTGCTGCCTGAGTTGCAAGAAGGAAACTCCTTAGTTTCCGACCGACCCATCTCCAAAAGTGGGCAACTCTACAGCCTCAGGGGTCATTGAATATGCCCCCTGCTCCTCCCTCATCTGTTTGGGGAAACAAATTGGTGAGCTTAGACCTCAGGAATGAATCTGCTACCTTCTCCTGGAGCCCTTGTCCAAGGGACAGACAAGAAGCTAAGTGGATGGCGCTGTCCCAAACTAGAAAAAAGTATACATTACAGAATATATATTTACTATGTTCCATTTGCTGTTGGTTTTTGCCTTTAAAAAAAAAACCACTGACATTTCAGAACCACACTGCAGGAGTAAGACTCAGCAACTGAAAGCATAACCATTGCATAGTATTAAATGAACAGAGATGGTGAGTTCTTTATTTACAATTATTGTCTAGATAAAAAAATTCATAAAAACAGATGAATGGTCATAAATTATTTACCCCCTAATGGGGTGAACTGCCAAACGTACCCCATGCTGCTAGATATAGGACACAGAGTGCAAGCTTTATGTACTACAGTGAATTCTGACAAACCAATCATTTCCTGTGTGTAGATGTGTGTGCAAGTGTGAGAGTGAGGGTGTCTGTGTGTGTGTGTGAGCATCCATCATTCCTGACAAGAAAAGGCCAACACTAATGCGGGGTATTCTTAGTAGCATCCATCGCTCCCTGTTCCCTGAGCTAGACTCCACTCAGGGAAACCCTTCCTGCTTTACTTGCATCCTGGCTCCAAATGAACAGGGAGCATGGTGTGCAAGTGAGCTTTCCTGGTGTCATGGAATGAGGTCAGGGACACAAGACTGGAACAAAGAAGGGAGGGGGGAGATGGAAAACCTTGAGAAAGGAAACTACAAAAAACACCATGTTCCAAGGCTGCCCCATGTTTTACGTGTGCAGGTCTCTCCTTTCTCGGTAGGCAGGAGAGCAGTGGGCTGGCTTTTGGTGGTGGTGTATTGGAATCCAGTAAGCATATCTGAGAGCTGGTCACCCCTTTGGGGATGCAGTTTCTTCTGCTGGGTACATTCAGAGATATTTCTTCATGGCATTCGGGTGATACTCTTGCAAAGAAAGTCTTCCTTCCAGGAAGGTTTTGCCAGGTGGGATGGGCTGACTTGGGATCCCAAACCCTCAGGTTTTTCCACAGCCATCTAGACGTAGGCCCTCCCATCTGACTATGGCTCTTTTCCCGAGTGGCTCTCATCTTGTGTGTGGAAGAATTCTCTGGGCCTGGAGAAGGGAGGGGCTGGGCTGACACAGA